ATATGAAATCAATTAATTTTTATTAATTAATAATTAGTAAAAATTAATTGACTTTATATGCAATTAGAACAAGTTATTGGTAAAAAAATTTGAAAATTCTGAAAAAATATATGTTAAACTAGAAAACTTTAGCTATTTTTTGAGGTAAAAATAAAAAATATTTGTTAGTAAAATTAAAAACTTTTATATATAAGAAAAAATATGTATTTTCTAATTATAATTAGTAAAAAATTTAAGCATTATATTATTTTTGATTGTCACTGTAAATAATTTAAATAAATTTTTATAAAAAAATTCTAAATAAAAATATATTTTATTATATTAATAAAATTTTTTTTATAAATTTATTTATTTAAAATTTTTAAATTAATTAAATTATTTATTATTAAAATATTTAATTTAAAAATAAATATTTTTGATAATAAATTATTTAATTAAATTAAAAATTATAAACAAGTTAAATTTATAAAAATAAATACTTTTTATTAAGAATACTTGTTGAAATTATTTAAAAAAATTAAAATATTAAAATATAGAAATTATATTAGATTATATATTAATAATTAATTATTATTTTAATATTTAACTAATTATCAAAATTCAAAAAGATTTATAATAATAAAAATATATTATTTACTAAATAATTAATTAATATTTTAGTTTTGATATTATTTACTAAAATTCATGAAGTTTAGCAAGTATTTTTACTTTTTATTAATAAAATAAAATAATTTTTTATGATTTTTTATAGAATTATTATCTAAAATTAGTTTTTTTTATTATATTAAAATAAATAAAATAATTTATTTTTAATTATTTTTAAAAATACTAGAAATTTTAAGCTTTAAATTAATTATTTTATTTAAATAAGAAATAGAATTTCTTAAAATTAAAAATTAATATCTTATTTTTTATATACAAATAAATATTTTTATAATTATTATATATGAGAAAATAAAATTAAATAATTATAGAAATATAACTGATTTTTTTTAATTATAACTAAAAATTCAAAAAAAATAACTATAAAAATATGAATAAAGAAATATAACTAAGAATATTTACTAAAATTTATGAATTTTGGCAAATAATATAACGTCAAAGCTAAAATACCAATTAATTTTAATATATAACTTATCTTAATTATTACAGCACTTTGATCACAATAATAAAGTTTATTTTAATGAGTTTTATTTATTTAAAGGCTATTTAGAATAAGATTATAATTAAAAAGTTATCCATATTCAAAAGATTTTTTTGCGAGGTGAATCACACTTGATTCACCTTGTCACTACTATTGTTCTATGCTACTCTATTGTCTTAGTCGCCATCTATTGTGACTATTATTTCTTTTGGCCCCGTTCCTCTCCGATATCGTTCTATTAATATCTCCATCTGCTTCTGGGAGTCGCGTATTGTTGCAGACCCGATCCGAGTTACACAGCCCTAACTCGGGTGTCACTCGTGATTGAGTTCCCGTGATACGATTCCTCGTAACACCACGTGCAGAGATCGACACCGAACATGCAATGGTGTATTAATGGATGTGTGCTCAAATAAATAAACTAAAATATATCATGCATATGCAGCTACGCATACTCAAAGAGCTGAGAAATAATAATAATATTCTCATTGATCATGAAATTCACATTTAAAGAATGATACGAAAAAAGAAAACTGCCATGATTTCAATCTTTGTGATTATCAATTCTACAGAACCCCAGTAACTTTCCAAGCACAAAGAACAATGTAAACTCTGATCATCTATGCCTTTATAGGCCGGTAAACTTAATCAAAACTTCCACGTCTCAGTCACTTTATAACGCAAATCTTGACGTCCAGTGATCCGATACTTTTGCGGTTTATTCTGTGCGTAATCTTTCAAACTTTAAATATAAACAAGCCATTAAACAATGAAATTTCATTATCGATGACGAGGAGCAAGTGTAATACGGGTTCTTTGAGTTTTGGCGGATATTGGAAAAAGAGCTCGCCAAGAAGCTTTTCCCACAACATAAACCGATAAGATATTCTGATTCTGGCGGGCGTAACTACGAATGGGCAAAAGAAGATCGTGAAGCAAATAATAAATTAACTGTTAGTTGTTCAGAAAGTGATGCACAATGTGTACAATTACTTGATTTGATACCAAATCAAATATTTCAATGAACTGATCCCCAGCAACAAATATATAACAATAATATCGATATTTACTATAGCACTGATAATACATATTGCCCCAATTTACTTCAAATACCACACAACTTTACGAAGAAGAACCAGAAAATCAATTTATCATATTTGTTAACGTCAGCAGTTACGCTTTTTGCTAAGACATATTGAAACGCATCTTCCTCAATTTACCTAACAACCTTAAGTCTAGAAGATATTCTGAATGGTCATTTTCAAGTCAAAAAAGTAAAAATATTATTAAAACTAATATATTGGTGAGAAAAGAGGTGATTTAAAACTTCCATTTTTATTCTTATTTTTATTATCATGCAGATTTCAAAAGTAAGTTTTGCATTTTACTATCTAGATCTTTAATTAACATTGTATATCATTCAAATATCATTTATCAAATTCATAATGATTATCAGGAAAAAAATAGCTTCTTCATTCGCTTTTGTGGGGTTATAGTAGATTGAGATTAATAACAACGCTAACATTTAATTATGTCCCATAATATCCATAATATCAAACATTAATAATGGTGATAATGGTAAGACGACGCCAAAAAAGATGCAGGTCTGCCCAAAAAATGTGGAACAATTATTGCACAGCCATAAAAAGAAGTGCCCGAAAAGTTTCACGATGTTTTGCATTCTTTCCATCTTTTCATTCCTTTATTTTGGTTGGTTAATCGACGAGAATCAGATTGACGGTTTTTATATTTAGCGTTAGCACTTAAGAAATTAATGACCTAATGACTCTATCATGTGTATAATGCTCTATCAGGTGTTTAATCAACTCCTCAAGTCTTGTCTATTTTTGGCTCTGCAAATATTAGAAAATATAGACATATATGGGTGTTACATCATTGGATTTTATTAAGAAATCTAATTTTTCAGGTTCCCTTTTCGATTTAAAACTAAGGAGTCTTCATACTTCGAGATATATATACATACATCTATATCTATATATCTATATATTTCTTGATAATATTTTTTTAACACAAACTCTTCGATTAATTTTAATTTAATATAAATAAATAGAATGTCTTCCGACCCTGCAGAACCAGTTGAAATTATTGGTGATTATTCAAAGAGTCCAAACGCTTCCAATCGAATCAATAATATAAGTAGATTGGCTATTTCTCCCCCAGTTCCTCAGCCAAACGCGTTATCAAGGTCTCAACCACAAAAATCTGGCGTTTCACCTAATAGAAATCTTGCTGTAAGTCCCAATGGAAGGCTTGCTGTAAGTCCCAATGGAAGGTTTCCCGGGCCAAGCTCTTATGGATCCTTTGAACACACCGCGGAAGCTTTAGATATACCAAAGGAAAAAAAGGCAGAAATTGTAAAGAAGCATTTGGTTACACCAGATGATCTTGCTCGCAGCGCCGAGGCTAACAGTAGTTATGTTGAACCTTTATTTTCGACTTCCATTCAACTTCCAGGTGGGGATGCAACACACGAAGTGTATAAATGGCATCAAGATGTAGAATCTGAACCTTTGAAACGTTCACGTTCTAAATCCCTTTATTTACCTCGATCGGAACTGAGCGATCCACACTTCTCTAACATTCGACAACCTGGTGGATTTCGTCGTCATTATGTATCGATGAAAGCTCAACAAGAAGGAAAGGAACCACCAAATTTCTTCACAGAGAATTTCATCGATTTTCTGACGATGTATGGCCATTTTGCTGGTGAAGATTTGTCAGATGATGAGGACGAGGAAGGAATTCTTTCTGAATATGTGGAAGTTCCTGTTGACGAGGAATCTCCATTGATCCCAATTCCCGGCGAAGTACATGGAACTGCCAGTCCATCAAAAGCTGTGTTTTTACTCTTAAAATCCTTTGTTGGTACAGGCGTAATGTTTTTACCTAAAGCGTGAGTTTTAATATCATGATAAATGATTTCATAAGCAAACCGTTTTTTCATGTTATATATTATTAAAATACTAGATTTTCCAACGGTGGTATGATCTTTTCTACAATAGTCTTGATGGGTATCGGCGGAATATCTCTATTTGCATTCCTACTTCTAGTGGAAGCGCGCCGAAAAATTCCTTATAGTTTTGGTGGTATGTATTATGTACGTGAAATATTTAGCTGCATTTTTAGATTACAATCTAAAGTTATTCTCTATACTTGACAGATATTGGTGGCGTGTTATTTGGTAACTGGATGAGATATGCTGTATTATTTTCCATTACTATTTCCCAGGTAGATATTTTTGAAACACGTTTGAAGTATTTTACGCTTTTTTGAAACATTCTTATTAAGAATGTACAATTTTTTATATTTAGATTGGTTTTGTTTGTGCGTACATGATATTTGTTGCAGAGAATCTCGCGTCATTTACGAAAAATGCGTTGGATACGCATCTTGACATGAAGTATTTTATTCTTTTACAAGTCTTATGTTTTATCCCACTTTCCATGATACGGAAGATAGCTCGATTATCATTTACAGCTTTAATAGCAGATGCATTCATTTTATTCGGATTAATATACTTGTACTACTATGATATCTTAACATTGGCGAAAGATGGGGTGCAACACATTAAGTTGTTCAATCCACAAGATTTCGCTTTGTTTATTGGGACAGCAGTCTTCACCTTCGAAGGAATAGGATTGGTAATTCTTCGTTGATTATTTTGAAGTAAAAAAAAAGTTCTCTCCATTTAATTTTTATCCCTTACTTAAATCCAGATCATTCCAATCACCGAGTCAATGAAAGAGCCGGAAAAATTCCCCAAGGTTCTTACTGGAGTGATGATATTCGTCACTATTCTTTTCACCTCTGTCGGAGTTCTCTCATATGCAGCTTTTGGCGACGAGATTAAAACCGTTGTAATACTTAATTTGCCATCCGATGATAGTGTAGTACAAAGTGTACAACTGTTGTACGCTTTAGCTATTTTACTTTCCATACCCTTGCAACTCTTCCCTGCGATTAGGATTATGGAACAAGGATTATTTACGAAAAGTGGAAAAGCCGATCCTTGGGTAAAATGGCAAAAGAATTTGTTTCGAGTTATTGTTGTCATTGCGTGTGCGTTGATTGCATTTGGTGGTGCTTCTGATTTGGATAAATTCGTTTCTTTAATCGGATCTTTTGCATGGTATATATTGTATTCATTTCTCGATATATCCTCTCGCATAAATACTTGCTCTAATTAGAAATATTTATAATTATTATTATAGTGTACCGCTCTGTTTCCTGTACCCTCCTTTGTTCCATCTCAAGGCAGCAGCCGAGACATTACGTGCTAAAATTTTCGATGTTACTATGATTCTTTTTGGATTAACGGCCTTGATCTACACAACTTATATCACTATGAAATTATGGACCGAAGCAGAGAATAGTATGCCTTAATAACATTAATGAGTGAAATTACCTATTAATTTATTAAACGGGGCATATATATTATATATATATATATATATAGAATTAACTAATATATAGATTCGAGGATATTGGGTTAGGTTGGATGAACTTTAATTTATGAGGAATTTCCAAAGTGGTTGGTGTGTTTTAGAATATGGTGAGATGTCAGCTGGACATTTGGATTTTAGAGTCATACTGCATATACTCAAACTCATATTATTGGTGTCGTTCAATTGTACAGATTACTTTTTTTTAATTATATCACTAATATATTTTTTAATAAAATTTTTTGATAAATTTAATATTTATTAATAAATAACGGAGCTAATTTTCAAATCAAATGTGAATCACGCGAATAATTTTAATACATCGTCACATGCTTCTCTCAATGCTTTAGGACCACCACTTTCAAACTTATGTCGAATGGCATTTGATATTTCAACTTGAATTTCGTCACTGAATGAATACAACAAGAATTAGCTCATACGAAATATTATGCTAAACCCAACATTTACTCACTTAAAGCTACCATATCCCAGTTCAAATTCCCATTGAAGTTGACGCAATTCGGGAAAAGAAAGAATATCTTGGTACTTGAATACAAAATTTAAAAAAAATTTTGTTGGCTTGATGAGAAAAGAGGAACGAAGGCATAAAGATGTCTTTTCGGTGTTCTCGTCTCTGATGGCCAATATCTCAGTGGTGAATTTGCGTTTCAATGATTCGACCTCGAGATACAAAAGCTTTGCTTTTTTCCAAAAAACCGAGATACCTTGAAGAATCTCGTGTATCTGAAGAAAATAAATTAGGAATCAGGGAAACTGTATAAAAGTAAAGATTCTGTGATTGCATACCTTTTCGACTTTAATCTGAGAAGAATATTTTGGAATTGTAGATTGGAGACACCGCACTATTATTTCGTACTAGAAATAAGATTATGTATTACTAAAAGTTAAATATTGTGTCATGTAAGCTTATTTATAACTTACATATTCAAGTTCTCTCGACTTCTTAATTCCTTGTGATTCAAGACGCAGTTCAAGAGCCACTAAATCTTCGTGATTTCTCAATTCATTCTTTTTTTGTTCGCCCATTATTTCTTTTTCTTCTTCATTCCGTATAATAGATTCCATGTCTAATCTCACATAAAGATGATTATCATATATCATTTCAATAATTTGAGGCGAAATTGTAATTGGTCTCCATGAATACTGTTCTTGAAGTCGATAATAATCATCTATGAAAATAATTTTCTAATTAGACTAAAGAAAATGATTTCTAAAGGAAATTCAATGTAGTTACGTCACCTCGAGCCTTTTTTATATCTTCTTTTGTATAAACCTTATTCTCGTCAATCGTGTATTTCGCCTTTTCTATACTCTATTGGTATTAGAGAAAAATTAATAAAATTAATTGATATAATTTTTTCACATCTTTCCTACCTCAAGAGATCGTTTCATTTCTATTTTCAAATTATTTATCTTTTGCTGAATGGCGTCCCGGTCTGCAATTACTCTTTTCAAATCATTTTGAAATTTGCTAATTTGTGTGTTCTGTTCTTCCACGGCATCTACCATGTTCATTAATTGTTCTTGATCACATTTTTCAATTTCGTTCCGCCTTGCCTGAGCCGTGGCTAGCTTATTTGCTAATTCCTGATGATAAATTCGCAGCTTTGGTAATAATTCACGTATTATTTTTGAAAATGTTTCCGTTTTTTCCTTGTCCTATTGGAGTCATTGTAAGTAATAGTGAATGAGTGTCAACATACTTACTTTCGTATTAAATCCTTTAATTACCTTTTTCAGTGTTAACAGATTATCTTCGAGTCGCTTTTTCAAATCTTCCAATTGAGCTTCACGCAAATCATGCCATTCCTTTTTCGCAGCCAATCTACAATATTTTTTGATAATTCGGAATCGAGGCTAATACAATTAAAACAATAGATCGCAAGATTAATTTCAAAATTCAGCCAAAAACGCGTTCAAGAATTTGATCTTTTACTTTTATCAATTCCTTAACATCGGGGGTTATGTCAAGATATTGCCGCAACAGAGGTTGATAATCCTCATTCGACTCAGCTTTAGAAATCTTTCTCCGTAAGATCTTATCTTGTTCCATAAAAAATACTGAATTCTATCAATTAATAATAATAATATGTTGAGCGAAGAAATATTGAGATTCTCTTAGTTACTTTATTAAGGTGATGCCACTTACAGATTCATATATTTCCATTTGTGGACGAATAACCGCGACTGCATTAACATAATCGGCTAATTTGGGCTCTTCGCCTATATTGATTTTGTTTTCAGACATACGTACAATATGAATTTTGAAAATAAATATATTGACGGTTTTCAACTTTTATAATACCGAAATCTGGAATTATGGTCTGTCTTCGCATTGGTATAGAAGATTGATCCATAAAGAAAACCTCGAATTTTTCGTAAAATTCTTTGATAGAATTTAACGGTAACAAAGAATCATTAGAAGTCGATTCTTGATCAGACTCTTCCTCAATTTCCTCTGTTGATTCCTCCTTTATTGCGCCAGCTAAATCATCAACTAATGCCATTGTATGACCATCAGAATAGACAGAAGTGGTACCGAGTTCTTGATCTATTTCTTCCCCTATCGAATCCTTTGTTGCATCAGTTAAATCGTCAACTAATGCCATCGTGTGTCCATCAGAATAGACAGAAGCGGTACGAAGTTCTTGATCTAATTCATCCTCTGTCAAATTTTCTTTTATTACACCAGTTAAATCGTCAACTAATGCCATTGTATGTCCACCAGAATAGACAGAAATGGTACCGAGTTCTTGATCTGTTTCTTCTCCTATCGAATCTTCCTTTATTGCACCGGTTAAATCGTCAACTAATGCCATTGTATTACCACTAGAATAGACCGAAACAGCATCGAGGCTTTCTCTGTGGTTTTGCTTATTCTCCTCTGTTGAATCTTTTTTTATTGCACCAGTTAAGTTATCAACTAATGTTATAATATGGCCACCAGAGGTAGTAATGGCAACGTGTTCTTGATTTAATTCTTGTTCAATTTTCTTTGTTGAATTGTCCTTTATTGTACCGGTTAAATCATCAACTAATGCCATAGTATGGCTACCAGGATAGACAGAAAGATCTAAATTTTCATTTTTCTCAAGATTTTCAATGTTATTTTCAGTTAAGTTATTTTCATTCAGGTTATTTTCACCTAATGTCCTAATTATATTACAGTCGAATCCGCCTTGATCTTCAAATTCATCAAGTTCCACGCCAGATTCGTCAATGTCCATGTCAGAACCTTCATTATCCACATTAAATTCTTCAAGGCTCATATCAGAATCTTCATGACTATCATCATCGAGCTCATTTTTACCCTGATCATTATCGTGCACTTGCAGGTTCGCAAATAAATTATCGTCTGTAATGCGAGGCAAAAGTCCGACATTATCTAAAAGGGTAGAATTCATGATTTCCGAGGACGAGCCATCAGAATCTCCTGATATGTACGAATGTACTTCAGCATTGGGATTAGATTCAGGAGTAACTTTTTCAAAGAGTCTATTGAATAAAATTAATGAATAAAGGGCTTTAAACGCGAGATAGATATTAAAAAAGTAATTTAAAGCCTAACCTAACTTGAGCTGTTGCCGCAAAACTGACTCTCCTGCCCAAAGATTTTCTTCTCGGTGTCCTGATCAATTAATTGAATTAAGAATTAATATCATGCTATTATTAACTTAAACTTGTTTCTCGAGGGAAGTACCTACCCTCCTTGGGTGAAATCCAGCGTTACAGTGTTTTCCACGTTAGTTGAAGGTTTGATAGTACTTTTTGAAGTAGCTATACTTTCTTGGTTAAGATCCAAAGTTAGTGTGTTTTCAGAGTTTGTCGAAGCTTTAAGAATACTTTTAGCAGGTGCCTATTTTAACAATTTTTTTTAATTATTCAGGCTATCTTGCTCGTATATAAACAGAACTCGAGAAAATAAAGGCATAAGATGCTAACTATGGTGTATCTCCGTTGCTCCCTTTTCTTTAAAACCTCGTGTAGCTCTTCTTCACTCTCAAGTTTTGAAGTAGACTTTGAGAATAGAAAAGAGGTGCTAGCCCTTCTATTCTTTCGTGGCGAACGACGAGGCGAATTCGACATTATTGTGAGATAATCAGCGTGTCTATAAATTGAGATTATTTACTTTTCATTGCCACGCGTCTAATTACGTGTTATTTCTATGGTCATGTGTAATCGATTTCGACCAATGATAATCGAAAGAAAATATTATTCCATCAGCAATAATATAAAACGCTTTCTCTGATGAAACTTTAAAGTTTATTAATGTAATTCCGCATTAATCTCATCGATGTTGATATTCGTTTCTTCGTAGTTGTAAATTACATCTTCATCAAAAATATATATATAAATTTTTAATATTTCAGACATGACAAAACATGCCAGTGCCTCTCAGTATAGCCTGTTGATCCTCTTTAATCTGGGGATCGAAGGATTTCTCTGACCAGAATTTATATCCCATGGAACTCCCAATCACTAAAATATCCCATACTCTGAAATTTGTTGATTTCAATTATCCTCTTTACAAGCTATTTCTTTTGTAGTTGGAGATTTCTTTATCTCAACAATCATGTACAACCTTAAGATAAAAAATATCTTGATGTGATGATAATTTCTGTATGATCTAATAATCACTTAAACCCATGATTCTCTCGTCGTTTTTGATAATAAAGATAAAATCCAAGAAAAAATTTGCATAAATACTCGAACAAAACATCTCTCTAAAGAAAATCAAACTTGATTTCTTTTTTCATTTTATTTTTTGCAATATGTCTGACATTACCTAAGACATACTAAATTTCTGATACTTTACTGAGGTAGTTCCGATTTATCTATTAACCAGATATCCGATAATGTTTAACAAAGGTACCCGCGATCGAGTTTGGCCCTTAAAAGTTAGACAAAAAAAATTAACAGCTGTCAATCTAAAAAGGGAAGATTTAACGTGACTCAAGATCAGGATTTTGAAATAACAAACCAACCACAAAGAGTTTAATACTTTTTTTAAAAAAAAAAGGAGCTGACTGATTCACTTTTAATTCGTTATCATTATTAACCGGGGGTATAATATTTCCGGTCTGATTAAGAAGCTTATCTGTTCAAAAGGTGATTCTTACCTTTTCCATTTATCTTTTTTTTGAAGTTGGGTTGGTGATAATATTTACAATATTAAAATATGCAATGCAGTAGTAACCTTTACCTGGCTTTTGCAAAAAAAAATGCATTTAAGAATTCATGTCTTTACATATAATAATTTAGAGTGGATCCACAGTTTGGAATGGGACATTTACATGATCACATTTGGTTATAATATGTAGGTCTTTTATTATTTTTGTTGAATCTTTTAACTATCTAATGCATTAATTTTAATATCGGTTTGTTATGGCGAAATCAAGCTAAAGAACACAGGGAGATGTAATCTTTTGCTGGGCTAAAATACTTACCATCAGAAAGATAATGGATGATGAATTAGTGATAAAAACAACCTTTAATGCTGTAGTCAACTATACAAAACAAAAAATTAGAACAATTGTTACTGAATAATCAACAAAAAAATAATAATAATAATAACTAATAATGAAAGTAATATGCCGTCCATTTTGGAATAGTTGGAGATAAGTCAACTAATATTATCATTTATAATGGATCAGTCAGCAATATTGTTTCAAAAAGATCCTTAAAGACAATCAATCAGACTATCACCAGTCCATCTAACGTTCGCTTGATTGGTGTTAATGGAAAATCAGAATTGCCACTTGGAGAAATCAAAAATCTACCAATCACAATTCATAATTGTTGATGAAATAATTGGAGATTTCTAAATACCCACAAATAGAATATGTATTGGAAGCGAAACAAACGAATAATCCAAGTTTCAGTTTTCTAAATAAAGATAAAATTAAAGATGGATGTTTTGGCGACAAAGTTTGTATTTTATTACTATTTTACTTGTTGCTCTTTTAAAAAGTTTTTGTAAACAACACGTGATTTCTTGTAATGGATTTGACATTAGTATAGCTTGATTGTTAATTTACAATGTTCTAATTTTAGATTATAAATAAACTTAAGAATTAGAGAATTAATCAACCGTTTATATATATAAAATATTGAAGGATCATCCTATAAACTACATCTAAAACATGAAAACGATGGACTAGTTAGTCGAACTTTCCATAGGCTAGAACTTCGTATAGGTGAACTTCCGTTATTATTTCTTTGTTACGATTATCTTTATAACTTGATATTTATTTTTTTGTCCAAAGATTCAAATAGAAATCCAAGATTTTCATAGTTTCAGAGCATTATTTATGTAAGGTGTCATGTTCAGCCGGAGTTAGAAGAAAGAGTAAGCGGCTCTTTTTCATTTTTACTTTTTATTTTATCAAACTACTGTATTAATCAATTTTTTAAAAATATTATTGATAACAATGTTAGAGGTGACGAAAATTCTCCTAAAAATTTATTGGTGAGTTTTCTTTGATATTTTTATTTTTATTTCTATTATTCATTTATATAGGAAATTTGCTAGCGATTAGCATCTTTTTTTAATCAAATATACGTGGATAACTGATTTATCTATTTTATATTACAGATTCTTACGAGTTCGCTTTAATAATAGAAGTGAATGATAAAAAAATTAGAGAAATCTCGTTTTTTCAAGATTTCGATATCAGCAGACGTGATATGTAATAATAGTAAAATAAATTTGTACTTTACGATATTAATAACAAATAAATTAATATAATAAATTGAACACTGCAAAAAAAATTTTGGCGATTGATGTATTTAGACGATTACCATTCATTTATCTTCGGCAATTGATGTATTTGGGCGATTGCCATTCATAATGTGTATTCATGACATCACACTTTGATTTTACTTACAGCCAAAGAAAAATAAACTATGGTATGTGTATGCCAGCGATCTCGCACTTGTCATTATTAAAATGTCTTGGCAATTTTATTGAGATCCGTGTCAAGACCGAGTTCAGAGCGTGATCGATTTACGGAGCAATAATTAAAACTGTAACACATTATTCCGGTTATCGCACGACTTCTGTCAGTGCAATGATGTTACGAATTCGTGTATGAATCATGTAATAAAATTAGCAGGGGAATAATATCATCTCTAAAACCATGAGGTTATTCTGGTTACTGGATATGAAGAAATGAAACGTATTAATAAAACGTTTCTATTGTGCAGATCATAGTCTGAATTAATCGAGTACGTATGATCGTGCGTTTGATCGTGTGCGATATTATGATCAGGGACGAATAAGCGTCATGAGTTATTATTGTGTTTCTTAATTATTCGTGTATGGAAGAAAGAATAACAGCAGCAACAGCATAACTGGCATCAATAATGAACACAGACATATCTAAAAAAAGAACAACAATAAGAAGTGAATGAATCAAAAATAGGAAAAATGATAAAGGCACGCATGGGTGACAGCTTTCTGTATGAGATCGTGGTAAATCGGAACGAATTCGCAGTATTTCCGTGGAATTTTCTTTTTCCCTTGAATAAAAGAATTAATTAAAAGAATATTCTGGGGTGCTTGCATCCTTTTTCTTATTTATAAAGTTAGGTTGATTGTGTGCATTTACACCTACATACACCGGCATTATTTATCACGTATAATTCTATTAGTGGAATTACTATTTACGAATTCGAAATCTACAGCCGGCATGTTTTCATCTTCTATCTTGAAAGGGATATAGCATGAAATGACAAAAATGGAAGAAAGCAAGCAACAATACATGAGGATACGGGAATGCGGAATGCGGGAATGTCCCAATAACGATAATTAAAATGGCTATCACACACGCATTTTTTTTTGGCTGATTTTTTTTAAAAATTTAAAGAATTAAAAATTTATATAGGAGTGTGTTTGAGATTGCGAGCAATGAACACCAGAATGGATGGTTGGGATCCGAGTAAAATGCTATACTCGGTAATCACAATAGAAACTTAATTAGTAAAAGAAAAACGATGTGGCGCACGAGATATAATAGGTTTTGAACTAACACAATTTTATGGGTGGCTATGTATCAAATAATTTTAAACCTCCAATAAAACAAATAACAATAAATAACTGAAGGGGCAGTTGTTTGATTCTATTCAGAATCCAATTTCGAATGACGCCACGCACGTACAGAAACTCGTTTTCATGAGGCGCGCAACAAATACATTTATCCACGCAAGCACGCACGCGTCAGCCACACGATACCCTCAATGGTGGAATTCTTTTGTAGTATTGTTGTTTTTGTGTGTGTGTCTGTTTCCGTGAGAAATAATTTTGGTTAACGCGTGAATAACAACAAAAACGCGTTTTTTGTAATTTATTTACTTTTTTCGCCCTTTGCCCAAATCTTATTAAGATTGACAGATAGAAAACAATCGAATGATTGATGATTGCATTAAAAATTAAAAGAATTCGCCTCTCTTTTTATTTATGATGCATACATGGAAACATACATAATACATACATGCTTACTATGACTCCCCTTTTTGTTTTTGTTTTCCGTAACACCTTTGATAAAGACAACATGCATACATACACATTCATAGACACACATGCACACACATCATTTAGCCTTCAAACAATAATACGATCTATACCAAATGATGATATTTAAAGTGGGAAAAACATTTAATGCAGGGAAATAAAAGATGGTGGTAACACGAGGGAAAGAGAAGAGAACAACACACAAGACATGCAAAAAAAAAAGAAGAAAGCGCAATTGATAAATAAAAAAGCGTAAGCTCTCAATCTCGCTAATGAAACGCACTTCCCAACATCAACATTCGTTGAAAAAGAATACTCGGTTTTTCTCTTTGTCTCAAGGAAAAAGATAGGTTTACACCTAGATGATGTGTGTATCATCCCACAGATCACGCGAGAGAATAACAATTTGTTTTTAGATGTGAAATTTTTTTTTTGTAGAACGGTTACACGATACAATGGGATGAATCGCTGATTGATCGAACCTCAAATGTTTGATCCGATCATTGTTCAATGATTTAATATTTCGCCATAAATAATCGAGAATTGACCACAACAATGCTGCAGTATATTAATTTTTAATGTAATGCAGTTGATCTCCTCGGCCGATTTATCGCGTTGAATCAGTACCTATATAGAAATTTCATAATAAGCGTATAAAATATATAATAGAATTTTTATTTAAAATAAAATATATTGATTTGTGTAGTTGTGCGACACGGAAAGGAATTATTTAAAGTTTTGATTATTTACAACCTAAAAAGTGATGCTGTGACCGAAATTTTTTAAACGTTAATTGGGTCAAAGGGGAACCATGCAAAAGTTATTTTTATTCTCAGATGAATTTTCTGTTTAATGATCAATCCCACGGAAAATTATTATTAATAATAATCGATAACACATGTTCAACTCACAAAATAACGAGTTAAATAGGTTTTTAATGAACATTGAAAAAAAGGAAACAACAATTTAAATATTCCTTCTCCCATATTTATTGGTTCAGTTTAATCAACAAATAATTAGCCTAATCATCGCCAAATAAAATTTTTTAACAGATAAATAGGTCATTGTTGCTTTTTTTTGAATTCAATAATTACTGATACATAATATATATATATATATATATATATTATGTATGGATATAGAGTATATATAGATGTATATATATATGATTTCCGAAAAGGTCTAGAACCTTGAGATCCACAATTTATCTAATACATTGACTTTTGCATTGTGATCAAATGTAATTATATACATACTTAATCTCGATATTGTTGTTTTCCTAATTGTTTGCCTTTAATTGCATGAGGATGCGTTGACCCTTCGTTTACTTGTCGTTTTTTTTTTTTTTTGAATTTATCATCATCTCTTTGTAAATTTGCAGTAATTAACAATCAACAACAGCAACAACAATACTAGATATTACTACTACCACCACCACATGTACTACTAATACCACCGCTACTACTATTATTATATTAATAATAATAATAATAATAATATTATTATTATTATTATTATTATTAATCTAATAAAATATAATAATATTATTGTAAGGCTAATAATTTTGATTTTCGCAATGTGTGTGTTGGATTTAATTAAATGAAACGGAATAACAGCATCGCACAATTTACAAAGATGCGAACAATTACGATAAATCAAATTAAAACAGCCGATTAGAAACGAGAAAAAGTTTAATTATTAATATTTATAATTAGATCGATCATTTTCGTCTGCACAAATCATCAATAACAAACGCGACAATGGACAACAGCAAAAAAGGGAAATTTCGTCATTTTTAATCATGATAATTAGTTTAAGAGAAAAAAAGAGTATATAACTAATTCATTCACTCGTAGCAATATTTACATTGTCACAAAGGAAAGAGAGAAAACAATTGTAATTGAGGGAGTTGTATATGGAAAAGAAGAGGAGCCAACACTCGTTAATGTTTCAGAAATTATTTGCACACATATGAAAAGACTAGCCTAACAATCTTCTATAAATAAATTATAAATAGGATTATGCATGTATACAATCTTATCCTTTTTAATGATGCTCATTATGAGTTGCATTTTAGCTTGAAACAGTTAGTCTATTATTAGGGTATATTATTATCTGCAGTAACGAATCAAATTGTGCATACACCCGCATAATTAAAATTCATTTTTTAACATAACACGCGGGAAGAGTTTTTCTTTCTTTCAACAATAATAAATAATAATCTTCATCGTGAATGGATTTCGGCATGGAACGAGAGTGTCATTTTTTTAGAAACTCTGAAAAATACGGTGTTTTAAATCATGGTTAAAGAAATAACGTAAACCAGAGTTCTAACAAAGCACACCTTCGATCACCTATTCATAATTTCCCATTTATGTTACCCTTATCTCTTTTACCTGTGACAGGTAAAAGAGATTACTTGTTTCTAAATTGCTTTGTTTGTGGTGTATGGAATAACTTGTAGTAAATAAATAAAATCAAATACACAAATAAGGTAATCAGCCAAAAAATCTGGTTAAAATTAAAACGTGTGTATTATGATAAATTTTTTTTTATTATATATTACTGATCAAACAAGAGTAAAAAGAACGTAAGTGGATGATGTTATTGAAATCAATCGATGATCGATGTACTATCTTTCTTTTGGTGTGTTGAATGTTTGAATGGCATACATCAACATAAACACACACACACACACACACAATATCATCCCCCCGTTTTTTTTTATTTATATTACCTTTACTTTAACGCGGGTGCAAATGATCGACTACCTCTAAAAGCCGATGATTAATTATATAACTTTTAGTTATTGTTACAGTTTAAATAAAAATAAATAAATATTTTATAGTTTGACAATTTCTCTGTGTGTTATCATTTATATATAATAATACGAACGAGAGGATACATTCATTTTTACCTCCTCAAAAAAAAAAACTTAAAAAACTGAGACCGAGATCTCTTATTATTATTTCAAATAATATCATCATAATCAATCAATCACCTATATATATTTTCTGAAATAAGGTGAATTGAATATACACACATACGCGCCTTTCCTTCTTAACTTGGCCCCACTTTCTGCAAAAGTATTAATTCTATTAAATAATCGCGCGCTTTTATCATCATACTTGATAAATTATACGAATTTTTTTTCTCTATATAAAACGACGTTTTGGACACAACATGACACGAAGTTAATACGTAAAAGGGCACTTCTTAAAAATTCTCATAATATCATCATACCACCTTTATTATATATTATAAAACAAAACAGCAATTCGTGAACATATTATTAATTTTTTTTTTGTTTAAATACAAAATCATTCTTAATATTCTCACAATAAGAGTCTCGAACAAAAGCTATCCGTCTATTTCTATCATCATAGAAATTAAATCGAATCAGAACAAAAGCCACTTTAATAATATTAAATTCGTTAAGCCCAAAAAAGCCAACAAATTGACGATTTGAAAATTGCCTGATACAAAATCTATCATATATATATATATATATAATATATATACACACACATATATATACACGTCGTCGTTGTTGTTGCCAATTGTCCATTGTTATGTCTTCCCCATTATGTTTTTGGAGTCTTCTCTCGCAGAGAGACTTGACGTTCGTCTATATTTCACCGTTTTTAAGCACGCAACTGGGGCCACAACAACTTTCAATTTTGGGAACCTCGTTTTTCGACTATATTCATCCGCTTGAAAAAGAAGTAGCTCGCCGTGATTTTTTTGATTTTGTAAATAAGAAGACCGTCTATGGATCAGTTACAAGGTTGGTTTGAATGTTATACTCATGAGAAACGAGAGGAAATTCCTCCCATTCTTCGTATATTCTCGAATTCACTTTTCCTCGTTTTCCTTAATTCCAATTCAAAATAATAACTTTCGATTAATGCTAAACTAAATAATTATAAACTTCTGTCTACAAGATGCCAATTTAATAGTATACCGGCAATTCAATATAAACTATTACGCCATCAGCAACAAAAGCAATACTCCTCAATAGTCAAAACAGAATCGAGCTTAATCTCACCGTCATTACCATCAACATTTTTGAGTACCGGAAAATACGCTTTTGTTCACAACAATCCCGATCATCTGCAAGACGATGCCACATGGAATGTATCATCAACGGCAACATCGCAGCCTATCAAGAATAATACCGAAAAAGAATATGTGATAATGAATGTTGGGATGAATGTGGTCAGCAAAGACCTCGTCTTAGCATGCTTTCATTCGGATGAAGTCGTTAATGATAATGTTAATTTTAATGGTATGCTCTCTCTATGTAAATTACATCGATTCCCCTATTTAGATGTATCGACAATACTAAAAATAAACTTGTTTTTAAAAAAGCCGCAGAAATTCGATCATCATCATCCCCACATATAAGCAACACATGCGGTGAATCAAATTTCACTCCAGAGGTTAGCATTATTTTTTTTTTTCATTGAATGATTTTCCGACTGACAATAGTTAACGTGCAACTTTTATTATTTTTCAATAATGTATACAGGAACTTAATAAGATAACCAAACTTCTACAACAATATCACGCCCGTATGGAATTTATTAACGCGCACAGTCCGCCATCAACGCCATCAATTCCTCATTCACTTTATTACCCATCGATTGATCGCGTATTCCAAATATTTGATACCCAAACGAAACGGTTGATGTTCACATGGCCAGATCCAAATGCATCATCGGTTAATCGACAACATTATTATACTTTTCCTGACTACAACAAGCATGATTTTTCCCGATTAATTCACAATTTTGATTTTACCTCAAATCCGCTCCACGACACCGGATCCCCCACGTGTATTCGGTTATATGACAAGAAACATGTGACTAAGTTATCCTCGGGAGAATCGCGTATAATTGAGAGTGTCATGATTCCACATGGCAAAATCACATTCGCTTGCTTTCAACTGATGCCTGCCACCTTATCTTCATCCACAAACAACAATGCACCATTATCAAATGAAAATGTAAAGCCGAGACCTCATTCGGCGCCATGTTCACCAGCTACTGTTCCGTCGAATTGCAGTAATGTCGGGAATAAAAGACTGCGTGAATCGTTGTCACCGCCGACTCGTTATGATAAGTATTTTAATGTTCCTGATTTCACTTTGGATCCTGACAATAGATATCCGAAAAGACGTGCAACTGGTCATGATCTGCCGTTGTTCAACAAATGTTCACAATCACCAGTTCTGGAACCGAATCATTTGTTACGTCCAATTTCACCTTTGGATCCTCAATTTCCAGTAAAGGTGCAACAAGTGCAGATACCATCACTCGAAAACAATAGCAGCAGCGCCAATAACGTCAATAATCGGGTTCAATCGAATTCGCTAAGATTACAAATTCAGTCGCAACAACCATCTCCTACTGCAACTTCCCCAACAACTCCCATCAGGACTTTCACTAATCCAGTTAGGGGGAGAAATAATCAACTAGTGAATGTGAATGGTACCGTTAAAATTTGTGAGAGCTGTCAGACCAACTCAAGTCCAGAGTGGCGTCGTGGTCCAACAGGACATAAAACGTAAGAATCTTTCTATATTTTAGCTTCAAACAAAACATATAATATATCCCTCAAACTAATTGTCATCACCTAATTTAGGTTATGCAATGCTTGTGGTCTTCGGTATTCGAGGACGATTGCCCGAGAAAATCGTAAACGTCAAGAACGGGAACAAAGAGAACGCGAGGAAAGAGCACGCGAAAATCGTGAACGCGAAGATTCTGATAGAGGAAACGGAGCATTGATGAATCATTCCTTCACTCAGTTCAATCCACCAACTTATCCTGTCCATCAATTTCAACAACAATCAAACTGCAGATGAAAAATAATTCGCCATCAATTTCGCCGCTATCATCTTCAACTTCTGAAGAAGTAAATATTTTCCCATCATTAGGGGATTACACCAAAATAATAATAGATAAATAGTATATTTCGATCACACGAACGTTTTATAATAATAATAATAATAATATCATGATAGATAAATATTTTTAAACACTCATGTAATATCCTTTAATTTACCTATATTTAAATTAACTTTTAGATTTAGCTCCATTCTCTTGTATATTTCTTTTTTTTTCTATATTGTACATTTCCTAAAAAAAAATAGTATTAACATTACTAAATAATTATAAATAACAATCTTTTCTACACACATGTATAGCTATATTACTTAAATATAAACTAATAAACTAATAAGGATGCATATAGATGCATTGATTAAGGTATCCAATTTCTTAGCGTTGAAATTTCGCATTGGAATGTGTAGACATAGTTTATTCTGTGATGCCTTTCGTGCGTTACGAATAAGTTTGAGAGTTGCAATAAAAAATTAAGTCGAACGCATCTTCTGTCTTTGCCAAAAGACTTAAAGTATTAAAACCTCGCGTCAAAGCGCGCCGATCACACTTGCGTGTTTAATCGTTCGTTATTCTAGGAGGCTATTTATCGAGTTTACTGGTAATTATATGAAATTTAGTCGGTAAATTTCTTTTTATTCATACAATAAAATTAGAAATTGAGAAGATTATGAGTAAGAAGTTGGTTTTTTTTTTTAGTATATTCCAGTTTTTGCGGGATCCAAAAAGTCAATATACGAGGGCCGGAGCAACTTTATTGATACACGAGTAAAAAAACACATATTGTCTGTTTTTAGAACCAGGAATATCTTATTTGTGCTCACATCATATTCCGTCAAATGGATTTTTTTGTTTTTCAATCATAGAAATTCATTCATAAATACAAACGTTTCCTCCCGAATAATAGTGAATTTTGATTTTATTATTAATGAAAAGGAGAAATGAAGTGTGAATCTTTACTAAAAGAAGAAAAAATTACCACATTAGTTGAAACTCGAACCGTGAATTACAGTAAAATTGCAAAGTTATGTAAAAGCGTTTTTAATCTTGGACAATTTCATCAAAAAAAAAAAAAGGATAGAATCTCTTGTATCTTTTGTCAAACGAACGATAAACTGAATGGATTTGACCGAAAATGCCTTTCATGCTCAGAAGCTCGTCCGTCTTGCTCTTGATAACAGTCTCTCGTACGGTACAAGCTCTTGCCCGAAGAAATTATACGCGACGTGCCTAAACACTAATGTGCCGCCGTATTCGTAATCCCATCGACGGTGCCATAAAAAGACTGCACGGTGGCTTGTTCAGAAGCTTGACGTTAACATAATTCCCAAAATTAATGGTGGAGATATGGGAAGATGAAAGCACATTGTTTGACCTTTGCCTTGATGGAGCCATAGTTTTATCTGTGCTAATTAGTTGACTATGATTGACTAGTTTTACAGACTAAAATCACCAAACAATTCACGAATTAAAACAAGATCCTGAAGAAATTGATATACCAGACAATATTAAAGAACTATGGAAATGGAACAAACATGCAAATAGAAAGCTGGATGAAAATCGTGAAGATATAACTATTGTCTATTAATTCAATCCACCCGAAGAACTCGAGACGAAAAATTCCTCGTTTTTGTATTCATTCTTAAGCAAATGATAAACCATAACTAGTGTGATAATAAATTTATTACAATTGAAATTTTTTTTCTTTGTACTCTCCTTGGTGCGAATAATTTAATAACATCCCCTAGACTCCCTCTTTTGTGAATAGGTAGAGTACTACTCATCACTAGAGATTAATTTAATTGACATATATACAAGTTCTACGGTAATATATTGCAAGAAAAACTCAAATTCAAGCTGGTCGCAATGGCAGAATATGCAAATAAAATTCGAATCTAGGGCTAAAAGCTAATAGTATAGAATATGAATATTGCGAAATCTTATGAATGGATTAATATTATACTTACAAAGTATTAAGAATTCTAATCGCTTTCTGCAACGGCGGATATCAAATAATGCCCACGATCACAGCAACCCGGTCCACAACGGTATGCCATATTACATTCGTTGAGGGGATTTTAGGCTGCAACGGCGGACACTTAGAGCTTTGATAGATATAAAGATGTGTAAGTTTAAGCCTATATTTTTAAAGTTGCAAAGTGAGAATGCTGTTCGCAACGAGTTAGCAACTTAGTCGGATCCCCAATTAGACTATTTCATCCGTCTCGTCGGATCCGGATAATCCAATATATTATTCAAGACTCACAGTCAATAAAGATCTATATCAAAAAATGTTAAATTAAAAAATTAAATAAAAAATAAAACCACCTCGAAAAATAGAAACACACCAGAACTCATCTACCATTGTCACTATATTTTAAAATATAAACTGACGCAGTCATCGGATCAACATTCAGTATCATGTTGCATGTTAACCTTGACCCATAATTGTCAGTTTTTCAACAAAGTAGACAAAAATCACTTATTCGAAGAGAAGAGGTTTAAATAACAAACAAGGAACGTCTACACCAAACCATTAGTGTAACTCTGAATCACTAGCCGACAGTGACCGATTGCCTTATACACAAATACTTGCAAGAAATATAACGTCGTCACGACAACGATCCCTGAAAAACTTCGTGAACGCGTAGTACCATGAATAGTGTTTGTAGTCGATATGGTGTTAATTGACTTGGTTATAATTTATTTAGTTTGCTGATCTGTATTATGATTTGTCACCTTTGAATCATGTGATTTATTACATGTCGAGTCGTATTTATAATATTTATAATCTGCTTTGATTTCTAAAAAAAGGCAAGAAGAATGCAAATGACTCATTATTGCTTTGGTAAAATCAGCGGGAAATATGCACGGAATTTCTTATGAATGCAAAATCTACATCGCTGCAAAATTTCGATCATTCGCTTAATTTAATGCATAGATGGAAGCTGAGCAATAAGATGATCATAAGAGATTTGACAGTGATATAATTTACGCATTCGTTGCTTTATTTATTTAGACTTTTTTTTCACTATTAAATCTTATTTGAATCAGAGAACAACGCTCCAATTCTAACTCATTACAGATAATGGAATTATTAAAGATCACAAAACTCTACGGGTGAACAAGTTGATGAAGGTCGTTAATTTTGATTTCCAATAAAAGATCCAAGTAATTTCGATTTATGGACTCGAGGAAAGTTAACATTGGCATAGACCGAAAAAAATAAAAAGTTATGGTAATTAGATGTTTAAGTTTTCGTATAATTATTGATCTCAAATAAGAAATTTACTAACCAGACTCGGGTCACAGTCCATATTCGAATAGGAAAACTCCTTTTTTCATAATATGAATCAAAATACCAGAAAATTATCATAAAAACGGTATAATTATGTAACAGAAAATCAGATATATTAAAAATCTATTATATACACATATTAGAATTCGATTTTTCGATGACAATATGTTTTTACTACAGGAAGGACAGATTTTGAAATAGGTTGGTATGTTGAATTTTTTCAATAATAATAAAAAATAATAATAAATATTATTATTTTTATTATTATTGAATATCTTTCAAGACTATTTATCAGCCGATTTGCTGATGATTGATGTGTTGATTGATGATGATGTTGTTGTTGATATGTAAAGCGGTTTTTCGCTGATATAGCATTATGTTGACTGTCAATTTCAATGTTAAAAGAATTCCAGACAAAAAAATCATAGGAATAAAAAGAAGAAAACGACGTGAATTCTCTTTCAATATCATGAATATGTTATTAAATACCTTGTTTAATGGTATTGGACAATTCTTCTCGTGCTTTTTGTAATTTAGTGGAGTCCGATTGCGCTGGTTAGAAAAATAGTCCAACGATTATTTTCTGATCAAGAAATCAATTATCCACTTTTGATAAAGAAGAAAAAAAAATCAAAAAGTAAGGGATGCAGAATATTAAAGACTATTATTATATTTACGGTAATAATAATCGTAATATTAATATGAAGAAGTTTTATAGTTTAGAAACAACATGGAACTGATCCACAAAAAAGAAAAAGAGAGATAAATAAATATTCTAATGTAAAAAATAAGATTAATAGAAATGAAAAGAAAGCGGATAATAATAGTTAAAAACTTTCGCAAGTTAACCTACAACTCCATTCCATCTCAGGATTTCTATACCCCCGTAATTTTTGAAGCTCTTTAAATGTACCGGTTGAGGGTTCCGTTGTCCCATCCTTCCAAGGTCTTTTTATTATTATATCACCAGGTGAATCGATTGCTATTCGTGGTTCAATAATTGGTAGAGGACTCTGATCCCCATTTAATGCTATTAGATACATAGAACGTTACAATTATTCATTTGTACTGATATATAATTTTCTAATTAATAGACTACGTACGATAGGATGGAATATACACACACTAATTACATTAATCAAAAGTCCGAAATACCTTGAGCTACTTTAAGCAATATATTCTTCCGAAATCGAGAAGCAGCATCACCCCTTAGGAAATTACCCTGTTTGGCTTTTAACCTCCTCACCAGTAAAACTCTACTCGTCACCGCAGCGAAATTTTCTTGTGGCAACGCAGAGGTGGTCGTTCTAGGAGGTGTAGCGATGTAGGGAAAACTTTGATCAGATAACCACTCAATTGCGAGATAATTTTTGCACGAGAATGGGGATGAAAAATGTGCGCTATTATGAATTTTCCTTCGTTTAGGAAACTGTGAAGGGATCAAATTATTTTGTTTTGAACTCGACGGAATACGAAAGGAAGGAAATGACGGTGAAGTTTTTCTTTTACGTCTTGGTTCACCTCCAAAAATTGGCCACCATCCGTGAGGATTTATTATGTATTGTTGATATTTTAGCGCATCGGGTGGTACTTCCGGAAGCTCTGGCTTTTGATGCAAAACCTTAGCTGTCCACTCGAGCCAGCTGCTTGTGAAAGCGTTCTTTGATGCAAGGTTATTCTGATTCGATAATGTCTTGATAATGGCGGCAGCTTTTTGGGATAAACTACACTCTGTCGTGGTAGTAGTAGCGGCGGAAGGGGAGGAGGTGGTGGTCGTGGTAGTCGTCGTGGTGGTGGTGGTGGTGGTCGTGGTGGTGTTAGTGGTGGTAATAGTTGTTGTTGTTGTTGAACTATTATTATTATTATTATTAATTTTCGATTGTGAATTAGGAGCCATTAATTAATTTTATAATTAACGCGTGTTGGAGTGAAAAAACTAGTTATAATATTATGTAGTAAGTTTTTCGAGAGGTGAGTGAAAGTATAGGGAAATAGAATTTATGAGAGACAAGGGTATTTTTCCCAAGTGAAATAAATCACTTTACCGTGGACGATATTTGGCAATCAACTAATAGTGAGAAACTCCATTGGCCATAGAATGGCGGACTTGAGTTCAAATTACTTTTCCAAAGGTTGTTACTAGAACATACAGAGTCTACTGATAGACGATCACTTTGCCTGACAATGTCACAAATGACGTTGGAGTAAAATCTGTCTGTGTCTCGTAAACCAATTGCTGGTCAATTTGGATAATTTAACGGGTATTACTCCCCCTGCGCCAATGCACGTGTATCACAAAAAGCCGACTTAGACTAATTTACATGCCACCTTCTTTTTTGTTGATTCTTAGACTTTATCAAAAAAAAAAAACATTTGAGTTTACCAAACACCTTTTTTTATCCTTCTTTACATCGAGTGGCGTTAAAAACAGTAAAAAACCAAACATGAGAGAATCCAACTTTTCTTTTCCCGCACAAAATCGTGCATGTGTTTGCATTACTTCGGCTCTCTACGACCGAAGAGCGCTAGATTGCACGGCCATCTTACCTTTAATAAACTCTCTGACACATCTCACATACCTGACGAGTACATCTCCTCGCATTCGTGAAATTTTAACCATGGATGGTGGGTTGGAGCGTTTGGTTCGCATACTGAAAACTACCAAAGCAAATGACAAACGAAGTGGTTGGAAGTGGTCGATGGCATTTCAATGTGTCGCCAATGTTGGAGTACGTGGCTCTGAAGCTATCAGAACAAGGGTGGTGGAAGCTGGTATGGTACCGGTTATTATCACGGTTTTGGACAATTTTTTGAAGGCTTTAGATCAAGTTAGACCGGAGAAAGAGCAAGCCGTAGCAGCACATCCACTAAATTCCCAACAGCCACTTATTTCAACGTCACCATCACCATCTGCACCACTCGCTGCCCCCTTCGTTGGTACTGTAGAAACTGGTAATTCGTCAACTCTTATTCAGATGTCTGAGAATTTAGAACAACCTTTCACTTCTTATCCACACTCACAAATTGATACTACTACTATCTCAATAACTTCCAATACACCTGAATATTTCAATTCAAATGAAACTAACACACACGTCGATGACGTTGAACAACGCGCACCTTCAAATCAAAACCTTCCATCAGCCATCGCTTCCACAAGTAGGTTATTGACAGCTTTAAATCCTAACGCCACAACAACCACATCAACTACCTACGACATCAGGTCATCATCAGACGATGCAAGATCAGACGTGGCTTCATGGGGCTCCGTAGCAGATTCAGAAGAAACAGCAACAACCATCTCTCAAATACCCTCTAATACGGGGAATGGGAATCCAAACACAAATCTAAATTTACATTCGACTTTCAGATTACAATCAAACAATAACAACAACAACAACAACAACAACAACAACAACAACAACAACAACAACAACAACAATAACAACAACAACAGTAACCACAACAATCACAACAACAACAATAATAATAATAATAATAACAATAATAATAACAATACAACGAATACATCTCACTTCGATATTGATGTTCTTTATCGTGAAGAAGATATTCTTTTGTCACTTCAATTGCTAGCTTATCTCTCCAAATATCCTCAATTACGTGCCACTTTTCATAATTCATATCCTCCTCATAATGTATTTTCGCTCGTGGAGAAATACACCCATCGTCTTCACCCTCAAGAAATTCAGTATTGGGCGGGCGTAATTATGCGTAATGCTTGCAGAAAAGATGAATCTCGTGGTGGAATTCGCCAGTGTGCTTACATGGCTTGCGGTAAATGGGAAAGTTATGCCAGAGAATTCGCTAAATGTCGAAGGTGCCGTAAAGCAAAATATTGTTCAAAAACATGTCAATCGAAAGCATGGAGTGAAGGTCATAGATGGTGGTGTATGGAAAGACATGGACACGGGGAATCCGATTCTAATAATCATCAAAACTCACAGTCAAACAATCAAACGGGGACGGCAACAACCACAGCAACACCACCCACGTCAGCCACTGTAATGACTGCTGGCCATCGGTCACGCAATGGCAATTACAGCCACATTACCGACAATCTTATCGCAAGGTCTACTGTTACCCACGAAAGTACGGAAATGCCATCCTCAGGAACTTCGTCCGATAATACTAATCATAATCGCAGATCCGGTTCTGGTTCCTCGCTTTTGGTTTCGTGATTATCATGATGAACCTGATGAACCTGAGCAAATAGAGCATTCATTTCTACTGTCTTTTACACGACTAGAATATGGATATATATATATATATATAAATTTCCCTTTTGTATGTTATACTAATATATTATTCACTTTGGTTTTCTTTTCTGGCCAGTTTGTCATTTCTCAAGAACTTGTGTCTATATAGTAGTATAATAGTAATAATAATAATAATAAGTTTATCATTAATTACTTTTGGGGGAAAAGAGCTGATATGACAATCATTATATACATACATACATACATACATACATATATAGGGTATACTTTCATTCTACACATTCATTCATTCAATCCTCTTCGCTCGTTGCATTTTAGGTTATTTATTACATCCTTGTACTTTCGGAGAGCCGTACATACGTTTATCGAAGAAGCTTGTATAAATCATCAATTCAATCCTCATCGCTTTTGCACAGTGAAAGCTACTTATATAAATTTGTGTATAGCTTTATTCTTAATACATATATTTGTACTATTTATTATGATGATATTTATTATTAATTGACAATATTTTTTACCCTATTCTCTCATAATCAATGATGATTAATCGATCGATTTCCTCGGAATCTATCATTTCCTTTGATGAAATAGATTGCCAATTCACGGAATTATTGCAGTCAAGATAATCCGTGGTGTGGATGGATAATCAAATGTTGGTTATCTTCAATATTGTCAACTTTGTATGCTGTTTACTTTCCTAAGATAAATATCTTGATTTATATCTTTTTACCTGATGACGTCAAAATCCAAATCCAGTATTTCATATCTTTATGCGAACAAAAACTATAAATATTGTCAAATAGATTTTCGACCAAGACATGCGGATTCAATTAAACTTAAAAGGAGAATAATATGTTTCTGAGAACCATCAATATCGTAAATATTGCCTAACTTGGTCAAAATCAATTCAGCCAGATTCGCTTGTCCAATCCCTCACACTTAAAACTCTCGCTTGGTCCAATTATCTGCGCATCTGCATTGCATTAAAATGTAAAATTAAATTGAAAGTACCAAAGACCGTGTTAAGGAGATAATCTAACTGTTGCGAGAGTTCTTGTTGGATTCAAACTGTTTTTTTTTTTTTAGGCTACGATACTTTCTAAGGTTCACAAAAAATATTGTTATTTTGATTTAATTCTCGCCAATCAAATTAATTCATTAAACAACGTAACTTGAATTAGTTAGTTTTCTAACCAATTGTTTTTCCTTATGCGATTTTCAGATTACAAAAGTATTTTCTCTTTACTCAACATATATACTATTCTTGAATCTAATTGTTGACTTAGATTTGCTGATTTGCCTAATCTAAATTTCTAAATCATTTTATGAAGTAAAAATATAACTAACGAAATAACATGCCTAATGCATTTGCAGTAGTCCAATAGTTAAGGGATCAGGCGCTTAGCTGCTCAAAAAAATGGTTTCACTTAGTTTTTAATAGTTAATGAAATGTATCAAAATGAATTTGTTTCAAGGTTATGAAATGCGGAGAGTTAACATTGGCAATAGTCATAAATAATTTTCGCTCGTGAGTGATAGAAGTTCCACTAAATGTCTTGATCAAATAAGGAAGTCGCGTTGACGCGATTTTTGGACCAATCATACCATGTTATTTATAAATGCTATTATTATCATTAGTTGAAGCTGTTACAAAAAATTATATTGTAAAAACACGAATGGATGTGGTGAAAAATAAAAGCATTCTAAAGATTAAAATAAATATTCTCTTTGTTATCTCAATAGCTTTGTAAAATTAAAAGACATTTGTATGGCAAAATATTTGGAGATTTTATTGTATAAATTTGAGATAACCATCTTATCTACATACATACATACATATATATATATATATATATATATGTATGTGTGTTTGGTTTAAAACTGATTTCTTTATTAAGGTGCTCCTTCATCACCTTTTAATACCATTCCGGGATCAATTTTGACTTTTCTCATAAATCCATCATACCAATCCTGAAATACTTTTAAAGGAATATAGGACTGATACATATTGATATTTTGACCGATAAGTTGCATGCCCATAGGAGGAGATGAGGTTGCAAATGAAGTGACATAATTATATAGATTTTTTAGTATATTAGCGGCCGCTTGGCCAATATTATCTGGAGTTAGCATTGAATCTGTCTTGACATGTGTCGGAAGATTAGCCATCTGCGATTCAACTAAAGCTATTGGTTCAATGGAAATGCCAAGTGTGGCTGTGACTTGAGGTGTGGTATCACTCATGTCATTCATATCCATTGAAGTATTCCCACCAGTTAAAAATTTTGGTGAATTTAAGTTTGTCGATGAAGACCCGCTACCTGGTATTATTGTTCCTCGAAGACGAAATATTGCGCTAGGTTTCTCATTAGAGAGCCTTATCAAAAAAAAAATTTTTTTTAAATATCAGGCGCATAATTTCTTCTAATAGATAATAACTCAGGGTTGATATGTAATCAACATACATTCCTAAAAGCTTCCAAGTACTTGCTCCGTCTGGGCCTGGCCATAAGAAATGTACTGTAGCAGCATAACCTGGCTCAAATGCGATAGTCCCAAGCAGAAACACGACTATATGATTAATTGTTGCTGCATCCGTTAATTCAAACACAAACTTATTGACCTCAACTTGTTGAAGATTGGTTTGGATCTTTAGAAAAATAATAATAATAACAATATAAATAAGATGTTGATGAAGCAAAGAAATTCGTCCTCTATTAATTAAAAAAAAATCTCCAATTTTTAGCTGACTTTTACAACAGAGTACCTCAAAAACGCTACAAATTCTCTTCCAAAATGTGGCCAAACAAAAATTGATACATTCCATAATGGTCTCTCATTTTTAGCGTAAACCTAAATACTCACCAGTCTTCCTGCGATAATACAACCAAACATTTCGGTGAATTTTTGATTTCTCCGAAAAAGAATGACCTAGAATCGTTCTATTTACCTACATGTTTGATTAAAAATTATGATGATGTCATTTAAAAAATAAATTGCTTGATCGGAATTGAAATATTAAAACCGGCACTTTGCTGCTGTGAATGACATTTGGAAATAATTGTCGCTCTTTTTTTTCTTTAGCACGAAAAGTAATGGGCGAATCTTTAGCAGTAGAACAAATTGGAACTTTGAAAGCGGCATATGATAAAAGGAAACTACGACGAAAACCACCGCCTGAAGGCAAAGAATGTTAGCAGTTTGTACTTTTAATAATAAATCAAGGTTGGGATAACGAACGAATTTAACTTACCAGCTCCTCTTATATAGACACTTTTAAACACAATGATCTTTTTAATACAAAGATTTCTCTAATGTAAATTTACATTTTGATATATGTGCTGAGATTGCTTTATTCTTTCAAAAATTTATTGATTTTTATCTTTTAAGCCAATACGATATCACTAATTTGAAAGTTGATGCTATTGGTAAGTAACATTAAATTTTTGAATGTCAACATCGAATTCTATTAATAAATATTCTTGAATTCTATTAATAAAATAATTGGATTGTAATTTTAGTAAATGCGGCAAATGAATCACTCCTAGGAGGTGGTGGCGGTAAATATAAATCACCTTTTCTTCACATGCTTAGGTTTTCCTATTAATGTTTGAGCTTATGCAAATCTTTCGATGCTTTTTGATAGTTGACGGTGCTATTCACAGGTTAATCGACTTTTTTATTGTTTAATTTAATCTTTTTCATAGCCGAAACCAACTGATTCTTTATTTATTTTATTAGAGCAGCTGGGCCTGGTTTGAGACGTGAATGTTTGACGCTTGGTGGCTGTGATACTGGTGTAAGTTCCTTTTTCCGTGTATTCGAATGATCTTTATGAAAAATTTTGACTTTATTATATGTGCTTTGCTTGATAGGATGCTAAGATCACTAAAGGTATATAATTCTCTATTTTTATTTTACCTATGTATAAACTATCGTGTATTAATTCGAAATATTTTTTTTAGGTTATGATTTGCCGTGTAAACGTAAGTTCTACACAAGTGCTAGGATCAATACTTTATTGTGTTCTCTTGTATTGTCTCTAATAGAAGAAACTTTGAATTTTTAGACGTGATACATACGGTAGGCCCTATTGGAGAGGACCCGAAAGCTCTTCGTCGTTGTTATCAAAGATGTATGGAAATCTTTCATGAATATAAGCTCAGGACTATTGTAAGTTTGAATTTATAATGTCTAGCATTTATTTGAAATGAATGAAAAATCAATCAATTAATGTATTTTTTTTTGATTTCAGGCTTTTTCAAATATAAGCACAGGTTGGTGCTTATATGCGCATCTATAATCAAATGCACATCTTCTCAATGATTTCTATTATATATAAAGGAATTTATGGTTATCCAAGGGGTTCAGCAGGCAGAGTGGCGCTAGACACTATCAGACGTTGGCTCGAAAACCAAGAAAGTCTCGAGAATGTAAGATAATTTTTAGTATTTTCATTTGTTTTGATATTTCCTTTTTTTTTCTCAACGTCATTTCGCATATAATTTATAACCAAAATGTTAGATTGATCGAATTATCTTCTGTGTATTTGAAAATGAAAATAAATTTGTTTACGAGGAATTATTGCCGCACTTTTTCCCGCCTCCTGATCAAACTCCGGAAGAAATCGAAGAGGCAAAAACCGAAGAAAAGGCAAAAGCCGAAAGAGAAAAGGTAAAAGCTGAAGAAGAAAAGGCAAAGGCTGAAAAAGAAAAGACAAGAGCCGAAGAAGAAAGAGCAAAAGCTAAACAAGAAAAGGAAAAAAGTCAAAACGATGATGAGAAAGTTGACACGACGGAAAATATAGATACTAAAGAAAAAGTCGAGAATGAAAGTATGGAAATTAAAGATGAAGAAGAAAAGAAAGTAAATATGGAAACCAAAGAAAATGATAAAGAAGGGGAGAAACCAAGTACGGAAATTAACGAAAACGATGAGAAGAAACCTAGTACGGAAATTAACGAAAACGATAAAAAGGAGGAGAAGCATAATGCAGAAATTAATGAAAACGACAATGTGGAGGATATGGAAATTATAGAGAAGCAAAGTACGGAAAGCGATATTAAAGATGAAGTGAAAGAAGGTGCGAAAACTAATGAAACAGTTGAAGGTGAAGTGAGGGAAACTAAAGAAAAAGATCCTAAAGATCAAGAGAAGGAAGGTGCGAACATTAATGAAAAAAAAGAAGGTGCGGAGATTAAAGAAAAGGCTCTTGAAGATGAAGAGAAAGAAGAGACGGAAAATATTGAAAATTCCAAGATAGAAAATCAAGATACAACAATGGGTGTTGGCACTAAAGAAACCGAAGCGAGTCCAGATGACATGGACATCGATCAACCAGATGAAACGAAGCTTTGATAAGCGTCCGAATCAAAGGTTTGAAGATGATAATCTTGTGCTAAAACAACTCCAAAGTAATATATTTTGCAAAATAAATTGAAGAATATGAATAAAAGCTCAATTTCATTTTCATAGCAAAATTTGTATTATGTAACAGCGTCTAAATGATAATTTCAAAGAAAATATTGGATTTTATAACTAGTTTGTATTTTTCGACTTACTATAGAGATTAAATAAGTTATTTAGATAATTAATAAATAATTGTTATATTTTAAGTATAATATTTTCAATTTGATAATTTAGTTTTAAATTAGCAATTCAAGTTTAGTAAAAATAAAAAATATTATTAATAAAATTTTAATAGAGAAATTTTTTAATTTATTAATAGAAATAGTAATAATACGTTATACATGTAAAATCAAAAATTGAATTTATAGCAAATTAAAATTTTTTATATTAAAATTTATTAATTTAATTGATTTTAATGTAAAGAAATTACTAAATAAAATAGAAATGATAAAACTGAACTTGAATTATCAATCTAATTAAGCTAAAATATTTGTAAATATAGAATGATTAAAGTAATATAATTATAAGAAATAATTTATTTTTAATAATATTATAAAAATAAAAATTTTTATTTTAATAAACAGATTTTTAATTTTTATTATACTAGATAATATTTAATTAAATAGGTAATTTATTATAAAAAGTAAATTAGAAAATAAAATTTATTAAAGAAAATATAATTAAATCTTTTTATAATTATTATACTTAAAATAATAAAATTAAATAATTATAAAAAATATAATTATCAAGAGATTTTTTAATTATAATTAATAATTGAAAAAATTAAAAGGAATAATTATAAAAAATATAACTATAAAAAATATAACATAATTATAAAGAAATTTAATTATATTTTATTTTTATATAAAAAATAAAAAACTAATAAATTTAATTAATTTATTTAAAAATAAAAATATAAAATACTTTATATTTTAATAAAAAACTTAGAAAAAATTCTGATTTTAATTAAATTTAAATTAGATTTTTAAGCTTAAAAAATTATAATAAAAAATTTTTAAAAAATTATAATATAAAATTAAAATAAATTTATTATATTTATTAAATTTTTTAATTTTATAAATTTGATAATATTAATTTCTTAAAATAATTAACTAAAAATAAAATATCTTTTTTTAAAGTTATTAATTAATTTTATTTTAAAATTAAATATCTTGTTATTTATTAAATAAAATTTAATAAAAATAAATTTAGTAATTTATTATATCTTAAAAAATATATAATTAAATATTTATTTTAATAATATTTTTATTTTTATTTATAATTAAATATTATTAAAAATTAATATTAATATTAATATTAATATTAATTAGAAATTTTAAGAAATAAAATTATTATTAATATAATATTAATATATTATATTATTTAAATTTATTCTTATATTTTTTAAAATTCAAAATTTTTTTTTCTTTATAAAATATAAATATTATTTTAATATTATTTATTAATAATATTTTATAATACTAATAAAAAAAATTAAGAAATATTAAATTAATAAAATATAATATAATAATAATTAATTTTATTAATAAATATTTTTTATTTTTAATTCAAAATAAAATTAAAGTTTTTATTTTAATATATTTTTTTCAGTAAAAATATTTAATTATATATAAATTAATTTTAAAATTTTCATTTAGAAAATTCTAATTTATAATGAACTAAAAACAAAAATATTTATTAATAAAATTAAAAATTTAATAATAAATAAACTTCTATTATATTATTTTTAATTATTATTATATAAAATACAAATTTTTCTTAATACTAAAAATAAAGATAATATATAATTAAATTTTTATATTTATTATATTTATTATTATTTATAGTAATATTTTATTATTATAATTATCTAATTTAAGTTTTATATAACTAAAATATTTTTTAATTATATTTTTTTAAAGAGTAATAATTATAAAAAGTTCTTATTATTTTTTTTTTGAGAGTTATTTACAAAATAATATTTCTTTATTTTAATACTTTATGTATAATCAAAGTAATTTCTTTAAATATTGAATTTTAAATTAAATTTAAATATTTATAATTATTAATTTTATTCTGTTTAAATTATTTTATTTTATATAAAATAGAAAATAAAATTAAAAACTTTAATATAAAGAGAAAATTCAATAATTTCTATTATGTTTCTTTAATTATTAATCTATATATATTATTTGTTTTTAATAATTCTTATATAATAAATTCAAGATTGATCCCTGAACCAGTCCAAATATGTTATCCAAATATTTATATTAATAAATCTTTGTCCAAACTATTCAAAATTATTCAAGAACCAATCCTGAATAAATTTGTTTCATGACTAATTCAATTTTTAGTCAAAAAATTATTATAATAATTTCTTTATTATCTTGTTCTTAAGTATCTGAAATTTATAATAATACATTATTATAATTGGATTATAATGTTCTGATTATCATCAAGTGAAAACAATAGCAATAACTTTTGTACTCATCATCTGAGTTGATGATCAATTATTTTAAATGAAATTTGCAATTGATTTCATCATTCTTTGTAATGTGGACTTCATTAAGAATTCAAAGATTATCCTTATTGACGAGGAAGAATCTCAATGTTGGATTTTTTATTGGAAATTCGAATCAAGAACCATTGAAATTTCTGCGGCGACGACTTACATTAAAAAAGTATTGATTAAATCAACCAATCATAATTTGCGTTACATACATGTTTCAACAATAAATTTTGTATCGAACTTGATTTAACATCGATATTTTAAAGCTACTCCAATATGGACTCACCTGTGTCTGTCGAACGACTCACCACCCAAGTCGATGGCAATACTCAAGGAAATAAGTCAGAAAAAAACAAGAAATCAAAAGCTTCAAAAGAAGTCAGTGAGAACTCATACCCTTTAGAGGTAAAATCTTATATTTTATTATTGATTTTCTATAAATTCAGATTTTATTCAAGAGATTTTTATGCCCTTAGTTAAATCCCCCACCAGAATATATTTCATATCGTATCAAATTATTTGAGAAGTGGAAGGCTGAGTATGATGAAGAGATAAAAAGTAAGAAGAGTTTTATTATACAAGAATTCAGCCCGTAGAATTAGCTAAAAATGCCGTTTTTTGTCAATAGATAAACCACGTGTGCCTATCACTGTTACTTTGCCCGATGGCCAAACTAAATCAGCCGTTGCTTGGGAATCTACTCCTTTAGACATTGCAAAAGAGATTTCAAAATCTCTTGCTGATCGCATTGTTATAGCTAAGGTATTATTTGTATGCATGTGCATCCGTGTATACTTCAGATACAAATATTAATATTCGAAGTTGTGATTCAGGTCAATGGAACTTTATGGGATCTTGGTAGACCTTTCGAAGAAGATTGTAAACTTGAACTATTAGATTTTGATAATGATGAAGGTTCAGATTTGACTTTGAATTGAATCGGATAAATAATCTTGTATCTTTTTCTATTGATTTTTTCTAATTTTTAATTTCTTTTCAAAAAATAAAAGGCAAAAAGGTATTTTGGCATTCTAGTGCGCATGTTCTTGGTGAGGCTTGTGAACGTCATTATGGCGGTCATCTTTGTATTGGACCACCATTAGATGATGGAGGCTTTTACTATGAAATGGGAATTAAGGAGCGGTATGTTATTATTTCATTATAGTAACTTTTTTTATATAAACAATAACATGTGACACCATATATTAAGTGTTGTGAATCAGGCTGATTATCCTGCACTCGAAACAATTGCAAAAAGTGCGATAAAAGAGAAACAACCGTTTGAAAGATTATCAATCTCCAAAGAAAATTTATTAGAAATGTTCAAGGTATTTTCAAACTACATTTTTTCCGGGGAAATTATATAATATTCTTACTCTTAAACAATTATACTAGTATAACCCATATAAAGTTCATATAATAAAAGATAAAATACCGGATGGCACATCCACCACTGTTTATCGTTGTGGTCCCTTAATTGATCTCTGTTTGGGACCTCATGTACCGCACACCGGTAGAATTAAAGCGTTTACGGTCACAAAGGTATATTGTGATTTTTCATTAATTATTATATAATCAATTCTAATTTAAATATTAATATTTTATAATCTTAATTTATGTAGAATTCGGCATCTTATTTCCTCGGTGACGCGAAGAATGATTCTTTACAACGTATTTATGGAATTTCATTCCCGGATTCTAAACGAATGACCGAATATAAAAAGTTTATCGAAGACGCAGCAAAACGTGACCATAGAAAAATCGGACAGGTATTATTACAATATTTTCTAACAAAACAAAGAGATATTCTTTGAACCTTTTATTGAAATTAAAGTATGATTTATATATTAGGAACAAGATTTATTTTTCTTCAATCCTGAATATAGTCCGGGAAGTTGCTTTTTCCTTCCTAATGGTACTCGAATTTATAACACCCTGCTTGACTTCATTAAAGTATGTTTCTGTTCTATCACGTGGCTTTCTTTCTTTTCTATTTACATTCAGTTATCTATATTCTTAGGAAGAATACCGAAAACGTGGCTTTACAGAAGTAATCTCTCCAAATATATATAATACTAAGTTATGGGAAGAATCAGGTCACTGGCAAAATTACTCGGTTTGTAACAATACTTTTAGTGGAATAACTTATTATTTGAATTATCTAATAATTATCTATTCTATAGGAAAATATGTTTTCTTTTGAAGTGGAAAAAGAGAAATTTGCATTGAAACCTATGAATTGCCCCGGTCACTGTCTGATGTTTAAACATCGAGAGCGCTCTTATCGTGAACTGCCAATGCGTCTAGCAGATTTCGGCGTGTTACATCGTAATGAATTGAGTGGAGCTCTAACAGGTTTGACTCGTGTCAGGCGTTTTCAACAGGACGACGCACATATATTTTGTCGACCAGATCAAGTAAGAATTTTTTGTTTTTTTTA